CGAGGCGCGCTCCGGGAGCACAGGGCGCTCAAGTGCCGCGGGGCGGCGGGAGCGGCCGAGGGGCGGTGCCTGCCGCCTTGGCCAGGGGCGACGGGTGCCGAGGCCGCGGGTCAGGTTTTCGGGCGGAGCGGTGACCCGGGAGAGGCCTTTCCGACCTACTATTTAAAGGCAGCAGCAGGGTAAGTGTTTTGGCTACTTTTAGTTGAAAGAGAAAGCCTTTCCCGAGGGCGACAAAGGGAACTGCAGGGCAGGAGGAGCCGGCGCCCGCTCTCGGCGGCTCCTGCTCCGCAGCCGGCAGCGGGGGCAGCGGGGGCAGCGGGGGCGCCCCGCTGGCAGCCCCGAGCCTCGCGCGGGGACCCTGGGGAGGGCGGAGCCGCCAGGCCTCTCGTCATTGGGTGCTTGGGAGCGCTTCCAGGCCAGCGTGGACATGACTGATGATGCTATTCCTGGGGGCGTTAAGTTAAGGAGTGACAAGGGAGCCGAGAGCGGGCTATTCAGTTGGGTTCTGAATCACGATCAGGAAATAGTCTTTATCTGCAAAAGAGAAAAATAAAAACACAAGTCACTAAATGTAAAATGGGAGGAAAACAACAATTCACAAATGGGAGGAAAAATTTAGTGAAAACCACCAATGCTCTGGCCACTTCCCGTTGCTGAGAGACAAGGTGACGCCGCGAGTTTCCCGGGGGACCCCGCCGGTGGCCTCTCTGTGGGGAGCAGGCGCCCGCAGTGCTCGCCCCTCCTTGCCTCCAGCTCAGGGCACCCCGGATGGGCCGACCAGGTTACACAGATGCCAGGCGCACGCGGAGCGCACGCCACTGAGAGGACTGCGGGCCTGGCCCTCCTGTCGGCCTTTCCTCCAGGCAGGTGTCTTTCCCTTCATGGCTCCTGGTAAGGCAATCCCGAGGGTCACAGGAAGTTATGTGCTCCCTGGAAGCGTTTCCCAATACTACAGGTCTCACGAATTAGATCCTCCATGCAGACGATGCCTTATTCACCAAGAGATGGGGCAAAGCGTTCTATGTCAAGGTATTTACTTTAGATGGGATCTCACTATGTAGTCCAGCTGGCCTCAAAGCGGCAGCAACCCTGCCTCACCCTAAATGCCAGGCTTACATCTGTCCGCGACCATGCTTAGCAATGCACTTTTTAATGACGCTGCCATAACCATGCCTTGCAGATTTGGTGCTGGGTGGAAGCCCGGGCACCGTACAGGGCAGGCCAGCGCTCTACCCCGAACCACAGCCCCGGCCCCAAGTTCATTTCCTGACTTTAGGCTTGGGCACCCCGTGCAATATACGGTGTGACAGAACCAGCAGTGGCCGAAGCCTTCCTGAGCTTAACAAGGCTAGCACTTGAGTCTGGCCGGGACACTGAGGTGGCAACAGCTGCAGACATCTGGGGTCACACCGTCCACACCTCTGATACCAAACACAGACGCTGCCAGCTCTCCTTGCTATCTGCCCCTCTTCCTGGCGACAGTGCTTGGCCTTCTCACTGCAAATGCCGTTCTCAGGTACTGCATCTTCCGCTTAGCTCAATCTTCGTTTCTTCCTAAGGGTCCGGGACAGTAGGCGCCTTCTTTTGGGAGCCTCCCCTTGCTGCTCTTCTCTAACCCTCCACACGCCCCCGAGCAGCACGGAGCAGGGAGGACGCTCACCCCTTTCCTGGGCCGGGTGCTGGGGTCAGAGGCTCTCCTCACGGAGCCGGCGGGCCACCCCAGAGCGCTGCCGCGGGGTCTGGGACAGCCGAGTCTCTCGCTCCAGCTGACGCTGATGCTGCGGATTCCAGGACACCACTAGTTTCAGGTTTGCCATCTTAGCGACAGAGATGGAAATGCAGCCTCACTGGGTGTGGGTTAATGGCAGATTCTGTCACAAGCTCAGCTGCTGGCTTTCCAGAGCCTTCTAGGCAAGAACATTTCAAAGGCACTAGGTCACAGGGGAGCCAAGGCCAGTGATCCAGCCCAGGACGGAGGAACGTCCACTATGGAATCACAGGAATTCCAGGTCCTTGGAGGCAGGCCAGACGACCCCTCAATTTGTAGAAGAGAAAACTGGAGACACAGGGAGTTTCAACTCTGCCCACTTAATAATGAAATTGTTTTGTTTTCTTGAGACAGGGTCTTGCTGTGTAGTTCAGGTTGGCCCCAAATGCTCTATTAGCCTAAACTGGCCTTGAACTCGCAGTGATCCTCCTGCTTCCCAAGGGCTTGGATTACAGGTGTGAGCCACCATGCCTGGCTTAATAATCAAACTGTAAACATTTATGAAGTTTTCCATGTGCTCAGGCATGGATCAACCACTTTTCCCATGGCTCCTTAGTGAAGCCCTGAACGACTCTAGGTAGGTACTAGTGTTTTCCCATCTTACTGAGAACACCGAGGCTCCGAGTTAAATGACTTGGCCAAGTCAAGGCAAATATATGGGCTAGGATGGTAGATACACGGCATCTGGGTTTCACCCCTCATCTGAAGCCCTCTGGTCTGCTGCCCCCTGCTGAGCACGAGGGAAACGGCAAAGCCTCAGGCATGCCTGCACCGAGGCAACTCAGAGATTCAAGTCTACAGCTCAGTTCTTCCCATGATGGTGCTCTGCTGCAACTAAGAAACAGAAATTAAGAGGCTAACCGTTTTATGGTTAAACAATCTGCACACATAAACAAAATCACTATTACAAATAGAAATAACTAGGCCGGGCGTGGTGGCGCACATCTGTAATCCCAGCACTCAGGAGGCTGAGGCAGAAGGATCTTTGTGAGTTCGAGGCCAGCCTGGGCTACACAGTGAGTTCAAGGAGGGCCAGCCTGAACTGCTTAGTGAGACCCTGTCTCAAAAAAAAAGAAGAAAAAAATAATACATTCCTATAAGATGGTGTAAACCGGAATATTTCTGAGAAGATATAAAGAAAAGGTAACAGTGATTGGAGTTCTAAGGCCTGGGTACAAAGTGAGCTCAAGGCCAGCCTGAAGTACACAGCAAGACCCTGTCTCAAAAACACCAAAACCCAAGCCAAAAACTCTAAGCCCCCTCCAAATAAAAACTAACAAGCTACACCACTCATAAAAACAAACACAAGGACACAAGCAACACAGCAGTGTCTTTCATACCAAACTATCAGGTTCTGCATCCTATAAGGCCAAATCAAGTGTTCTCTGGGAGGGAGCAGTCTAAAGTCAACTCAGCTGTGTGTCAGTTAGATTCCTAAGTGGAAACTAAAACTAAGTCTGTCTTTTTTTTTTTTTTTTTTTTTTTTTGGGGCTTCATATTTTTGAGGTGGGGCTTCATATGCAGCGTAGGCTGGCCTTGAACTCGCTTTGTAGCCCAGGCTGGTCTCAAACTCGCAGCAATCCCCCTCCCTCAGTCTTTGAGCACTGGGATTACAGGCATGTGCCACAATGCCGGGATGAGTCTGTCTTAAAATGTCTCCTTGCGTGGGCTGTTCTGGGCCAAGCCAGGGTGAAATGTGCACACATCTGGACAGTGGACAGCCAAACTTCCGAACCACCGGCGGCTGTTGTTGGGTGGAGGGGCAGCTTCCTAGCTTGGTCAAGCAGTTCAAGTAGGTGGGCAGGAAGGCTGTTCCAGATGCCCATATGTGGGGTGCTAACTACAGTCCCACAAGCACCAGCTCCAACACACAGCAGCCAGGGCTATTCTATGCCAGCGCTAACATTCTGAGGCTCCTCAGCACTTCTGCCCACAAGAGTTCTGGCACCAAAACCCAGTGTTTTTTCTAGGCCAAAATACAGTGGGCATGTCACAGTGTGCAGTCACTCTACCATCACCACAGACGTTCCAGCCCCGTTCCTGCCAGACTCCAGCCGCGACCACAGCAGCGGGCTGTCAGTAATGGAGCAGGTTTAGGAAGCCTTTCCGTTAGCATACCTGTGTTCAGCCTAAGAGGCTGAAGCAGAAGGATGGGGAGTTCAAGTGTAGCTGGGCATCTCAGCCTGTCTCAAAATTTAAAAATATGAAATGTGTTTTCAAAAAAACCAAAACAGGGCTGGGGATATAGCTTAGCGGCATAAGCACCTGCCTGGCAAGCCTAAGGTCAGGAATTCGACTTTCAGTACAAAAAAAAAAAAAAAAAAAAAAACCCAAAACGAAACAAAGAGGAAATATGGTTTGGCCGGGGTCTCGGCAGCAGGCTGGCGAGCGGGCAGGCCCGGGGAGCGGCTGCGGCTGTGTGGTGCTGCGCAGGAACACTGATTGACATGACCTCAACGTGTCACACGCCCTCCAGCACAGTAAATGTGTATGCAGGAGACAGCGTAAGAGCATGTGCACTGCCTGCAGGCCTGTGCGGTGCCCAGGTGCGGGTCGCTCACTCATCTCGCCTCCGTTACCAGGGGCCCAAGCCCTTCCCTGGGAACCGGACTGAGGCGCTGAGTGCCCACTAGACCTCTGGGTCCGTGCGCCATGGACGGCCAGCTCTGCCCTGCAGAGGAGATGGCTGGTCATTGTGGGCTGGGAACATCTGTGTGGCACGCACATCATTTGCCCTTGCTGAGCTTACAATCTCGGTGCCCCTGGCGAGCCCAGGCCTGCGCGGACGTGCTTGGAGTGTAGGGGCTGTGCCCAGCCCCACTTCTAGAGATGTGGGAATCTGTGCTCCACAGTCACATGGCGTGGTCTCAGGGAGCTCAGTTCGAACTGGATTCCAAGGCTTTTTGCCCATCTGAGCGGACTCACGTGTCGGACGTGATGCCTCACTGGTGCACTTACTGGTGTGCCACGACCTGCCCAAGGCCAAGCTGTAAGGCATGTAGCTAGGACAAGGTTCTGGCCACCCAACAGATTCAGGCAGACACACACTAAATGTTCATGGCCTGTTTCTGGGGTAAAACCATGCTTATGTTCTTCTCTGTAGCTCATGTGTCTCCATCCTCAAGAGAGTGACCCAAGGGACTGGGGGGCCTGTGACTTTGTCTTTGGAGTTTTCCTTTCCACTCTTCCAGGTAGCCAGACTGAGCTGCAGCGGGCCTGGGAACCACTGCCAGGCTGCTGCAGCGAGAGGCTGATCCCCACCAGAGCCTCCCGGTGGCCTGCAGCCATCCTACTTGCAAGAGGAGGAGCGCGCATGGCTGCGGCCGGCTCCATGCAGTCACGCCAGCTCCCGCCCAAACCCTCCACTCCCGGCAGCAACCCATTTGGCTGAGCTCCGCGTTTGAGGCTCTAAGCTGCGCCGAAGTCTCGCCTTTGCTCCTTCCTACGCGGCTTCTGATATCATAGGCAAGCTGTACTGCAACCTAAGCGCACCAGAAAGTGCAAACTTAACTCATGCACACCCAGCTCTGGCCCGGTCAGGGAAACAGAGAGCAAGAGCAGTAACAGTGCAGGGAACAGTCCTGGACAGTCTGTCCGCCACTGTGGCGCGAGAGTGAGGCGAGACAGGGCTGGAGAGGTGGCCCTCCTGGGATGAGCATCTCATCACCGAGGAAGGACCTACAGCCTCCAACGCAAGCCAAGCACTTCGTGGGAAACTAAAACAGCAGTCTGCTCCGGGGCTGGAGGAAAAGCTGGCTTTAGGGCCCTGGAGACAGGACTGTTACACTCTGGCTTAGAATCACTGAATTGGTTTCCTTCAACATAGTTTCCCCACTGTCCACTTCACATACTCTCGGGGCCCTCAGGATTAGCTCCAAGCTCTCCTCTTCTGGGAAGCCAGATGGACCTGATCACACCCTTCCCTTCGCCCCAGATGCTCTGTTGAATTTCCCTGACTCAAGGAAAGACAGATCCGTATTATACTTGCGTGTTTTCTTCCCCATAAGAGCACAATTCCTCTCTGTGGCCGAGAGTCGCTGTGGAGATTCAATGGGGGACAGCAACTAGGCAGTGAGGCAACCAGACTCTTTCACTGCCTCAGGCCCTCACTGGGCTCTGCAGAGCAATGATCGGTCTCCCTGACAGGCTGTGAGCCTCCTAAGGGGAGCAGTGGGAGGCCCCTTACCTGGTGCAACCATTATTTCATTTTTCTTGGAGCGAATTCGGAGGAAAGTGAGGTCATTCTGGGGGTCAATTTCACGCACAGTGCTCCGCGCCTTCAAGATGAAGTTGTGCATGAGGTTGGCGTACTGTGTAGTGGTGGGATTGTCCATGGTGCTCTTGATGGGAATGCCTGAGGGGAGAGCAGAGACTGAGCGGGAGGCTGGAGCCCCTTTTTGCCAAGCGCCCGACCACCCCCTCTAGTCTAGAGTACTGGACTGGCGAGTAACCATCAGTGCTGCTGTTTACCACATGACAGGCACAGTGACGAGCACTTAAGGACGGCAGTGCCATGCCAGTACTCTCTGCGGGTAGCGTCACCATCTTCATTTGCCAGTGAAGCAAGAGGAGCCCTGAGTGGTGAAGTGACCTGCCTACAGCACTTGGGCCAGGATTCTAATGCAGGCCAATGGGCTCCACTGCCAGCCCCCTGCCAGGCCCCACTGCATGACTGATTCCCAGCAGTAGAAGGAGAGGTGCTCCATCATAATGCTTAGAACTGGAAGCAGGAGACACCTCTTATCAACTTGTAAAGACTGGAAAAGGAAGAAGAAAAGAGCTGGTGTCAGCACATAACCATCTCCGTTCCCACCCGAGGGAGTTGGGAGTTATAAACGCACTGCCTGCAAACATGACCCCTGCTTAACTTAGGGCAGTGTCCTTTGTAAGCAGCACCATTATCTCCTTCAAAGAGCCCACTGAGGCGCTGGGATGTAGCTTAGTGGTTCAGTATGCTTAGCCTTGTACTGTCATCCATCCATCCAACCATCCATCTCCCTCCTTAGCTATCATCTGTCTATCTCCCTCCCTAGCTATTATCTATCTATCTACCTATCATCTGTCTATCCATCTTCCCTAGCTATCATCTGTCTCCCTGCCTGCCTGCCTGCCTACCTACCTACATACCTGCCTATCTATCTATATTGAAAATCAGAAAGCCTAAGTGAATAACACAGATTCACCATTTCCCTACTGCTGGGTACTTAGGCTAGGATTTTACTAATAGAATTAGCTACAAGGAACATTACTGTATGCCAAATCTTCTGTTTTGAGGACTGAATTATTGAAAGAACCTTACTCACTGAATGGTGTCTACTGCCAACCAGGTGACGAATGTGGTTCAACTTGAGCTACCTCAGGCCAGAGCTGAGTCATCAGGTGCCCGTGAATTGGCCATGACCTATAGCAGAAGGCTCCATCCACGAGATCCCCGGAGCTCATCAGCTGACACGCAGTCTGAAAAATGTGGCACAAGTGACCCCTCACATACAGGTGACTACACTCTGGGCCCTGGAGCAGATTGCTGTTTTAGTTTCCCTCAAAGAGCTCGGCTTGCATTTGGGGGCGTGTGGTGCAGCCACACTGGTCTTTAGGCTTTAGGGTCAGTCTCAGGACGAGATGCTCAGGACTCTGCTCATCTGGCCCGCAAGCGGCCAGCTCAGAGACCAGCCAAAGGCAGTCATCGTCAGACCTATCCGATGGCTGGCAAGAAACTGGCCTGATCTGGACTTCTTATGGCACCGAAATAAAAGGGGCAGAAAAGGAGGATATAGGACAAAAGAAGGAGCTAAGTCACGGAGGCTTTTTCTTTTAGATTTTTTGAGATAGACTCCTGCTATGTTGTTCAGGCTGGTCTTGAACTCATGATTCTCCTGCATCAGCTTCCTGAGTACTGGGGTTACAGGGATGTGCCACCATACCTGGTTCACAGAGATTGTTTTACTTCCCTTTAAGGGGCAAGATGACTGGAAACTGGGACAGCTGCTGGGTCCTGGGTGGTAACAATGTGTACACGAGAGCTGCATAGGGCCTTGCTGATATGGCCAGTATGAGCAGTATCTGCTCAAGTCTGAGTAGGGACTCTGAACCCTGAGGACGGGGGCTTGCTCCCTGGTTTTACCCCTTTGGAGTTTTGTGGTCTTAGGCAAGTGACTTAACCTCTCTAGCTTCCACTGCCTCGTCTATAAAATAATGCCTCTGCTTCAAAGAGCTTGCTATGAGGAATTAATTTAAGGATGTTTAGTAAGAGGTCACACATAATACGTGTTAGTTTGTTATTAATATCACCCACAAAATAAATCCCACTCCCAATAACTTGAAGGCACATGACTGCTCCTTAAACCTGCAAGGGCACTGCTAACACGGAGCCCATCTGCCAAGGGTCAGGACCAGAACCCAGTGGGTTCCTGCGCCTGTCCAGCAACCGCCCTTCAGCTCACTTTTAGGCCTTGATGGTTAGAAGCCTACCACGCTACCAGGACCTGGAAAGGTCTGGGTGATTGGACCCTGACCTTCGCTTCGTGTGTGCGTGGTGGCGGGTGCCAAACCAGGGCCTCTCCTGTACCAGGCACGCACTTTCCACTGAGCTGCATTCTCAGCTCCAAACCTCCTCTTGTCTACCACAAGGCTACCATTTCCCAGATGCCTCTGCCTGGAGCCTTCTTCCCCTCATGTCAGGGGCCCCATTCTTTGGTCCCTGCGCTACCTCATTTTCCTTTGGAGCAATTACTCAAGTTTGACATCATACTGTCAGGAAAGTGATCGTTACTTCCGTCTCCCGCCACTGTAAGCTCAGCCTCAGCCTCCCAGAGTGCTAGGACTATGGCGTATGTGTCACCGTGCCTGGCTTGAACCAACTCTTGATTGACTATCTCACCAGGGTCCTTGGTGAGACCGCATTAAGCATGTATTGCTGTTGAGAAATGAGCAGTCACAGGGTCTGCTTTCATTAGTTCAGATGAAAACTGGTATGAGTTAGTCCCATTTCTACAAGTGAGCAATGTGTAAGGGGACAAGAAACTACCCATTTGTTGGCTCACTATAAAAACAAAAGAAAATACAGAGATAAGGAGGCAGAGACCAGAACTAGGAAGAATTTCAAACAAGAACAAGAGATAATGATTCACAGGAAGAATTTCAAACAAGAACAAGACATACAGATTCGCAGATACAGATTTCATCGCCTGGAGCAACCTTGGCGATGGCCTAATTATTAAGATCAGCTAATCCAAGCCTCTGCCGTGACTAAGGGAGAATGCAGAGCCTGTAGAAACAGCTGGTCACGGGAAGGCGCAATTTCTAAGTTGCAGCTGAAATGTGTCTTGATTGTACAGCCAGGTCCTCTCATGTCTCACATGCAGCTCTTGCGAGTAACAACACAAATTATTTTTAAAATTTAACAGATAATTTTTTGTACTGGGGATTGAACCCAGTGCTTTTCCACAGAGCTATATCCCCAACCTTTTAAATATGTTGAGACAGGATCTTCTTGCTCAGTTGCTCAGACTGGCTTTGAACTTACAATACTCCTGCCTCAGTCTCCTGAGTACCCGCGATAATAAGTGTGTGCCACCACACTTGGCTGACAGATATTGTTATCAAGCACCAACCCTGTGCCCACATTCTTCTAGATGCTGAGGATACAGAGAACGGTGCTTCTGCTGGGCACTGCAGGGCCTACCCACTCTGGCTGGAGGTGCATCACAACCTCCCTGAGCCTCAATTTTCTTGCTGGTAAAATGGGGTGCTGTCCAGAGTAACTGGATCAGTAGAAAGAGAAGGTATTCTGGGCAAGACTAAGAACAAGAGTTATGTCGAGATGATGGAATAAACTAAGTCATGAAGAGACAAGGCCCCAGGAAGACTCCGGAACTGAGGCTGGAGAAGGCAGGCTCCAGGAACTGTGGCCTGAGCCAACGCCTCTTGTTGACACAACACACCTGCAGGTCACTCACAGTTCCAGGTTGTATTTGCAGCTCTGGGGCATCCCTGAGGGAATGGGCCAGAAGCCTGGACAGGGGTCAAAGCATGCGCTACAGAGTCAGAACTCCAGGTCTGCCTCTCCCTCTGTCATCTTGGATTCAGTGGACGGCTTCGCCTCTTTCTAGGCTATTTCATCGTTATGAAATGCAGGTATAAACAGCTCCACCCTCACAGGGCTATTCTGAAGTTTGAGCGAATTAATCCCTAATTGCTTTCTCGGTGGAAGAGTGGCTGCCTAATGTGCATGGGTCCTGGGGCTGGATACGTAGCACCAAAAAAGACAAAAACAAAAAAGCTGTATCAAATATGTTTAATGGTGCTGGGAAAAGGGTATTGTAACTTTTAATCATGTCAGCTATTATAAGCATTACTATACTTTTAACGTGACTATTAGTGTAATGATTATGGCGTCTCTCATGCTTGCAAATTTGGCCTACTCTCTTTAGGGTTACTTCCTGGAACACACTCCTCAGAGGGGATTTCCAAATGACGGGCCGGTGGCACCACTCACTGTGGTTTGTTCTCTCAGTGACCTGAATCCAGCACCTGCTGTGGACAGACACTCGGTGTCCAGATGACGCGGACGGGGTCCTTCGTCAGCCCCGCTGCGGTGCCTGGTGTGCCTGTCCGCTCCCCGCCCTGCACACTGGGTGCTTTCACACATGTCAATGGGGTCATTTTTCAGTTGGGCAAACCCTTCTCCCTAATTGAAACCAACACAGAAACACAGCTAATGGATCTGAGGGGGCTTCTGGCTGACGTGGAGGACAGGGACCCAGGCCTCCCCTCTGTTTCTAGGGGCAGCACAGAACCCCCAGCTAAGGAACACAGCTCTGAAAATGCGGTCCTAGGTGGGCTTCCCAAGAGGAAGCTCTCTGATGGAAATGTCTGCGGTGAGTATCACTGCAGCCCCTTCTCATTAGAATCTGCCCCACAAAGGTGAAATTTCCCAATGTGTCCGATCAAACAATCTCCTAGAGTGCTTGGTAAATACAGATTTCTCATGTCTCACCTCAGCTCTAATTAATCGGATTGTCTGTGGAGAAGCCTGGAATCCATAAGAGTTTTAACAAGAGCTCTAGACAAATTTAGGAGACACTGTAGCCTTCAGGTTTGCTCCTCCCTGCTTGTTCCTTACAGGGAACCTGACCTGTAAGCTCATGTAAATAAACGCCTCAGAGCTCAGAAGTGATAGAGACAACATCGTGTTAAATGCTTACACTGTTCATTCTCGGTTATTCTTTGCAACCTATAATGCTTCTATGATAAATATCCAGTCACAGGCTTAAGGGACTCGCTGGCGGTCAGGCGGCGTCAGGAAGAGAAGCAGGATAGGAACTCAGGCGGGCAGGGCTCCAGGGCCCTTGGCCTTACTGCTGTGTGGAGTGGACACTGGCCTTGGGGTCAAAGACCAGCAGCCTGGTTCTCACGGCGCAGTGAGGGAGACAGTGACACGTGCGCTCAGACAACACTGGACCCTTGAGCAAGAGCTCAGCACTCAGGAGGCTGAGGCAGGAGGATCTCAGTACGTTTAAGGGCAGCCTGGGCTACACAGTGAGACACTGTCTCAAAAAAAACAACACACAAAACTCATGTAAACATACACAGAAGAGTAACAACTATGATTATGACCATCAGAAATGTGCTCAACGGCTATACGGGCTGAAAAAGCACGGAATGCTGGAAAATATGATCTGTCAGGGCAGTGGAACTGAGTGAATTTTTCCTTTTTAAAAAATATTAGAATTTTAATAACAATGTTAGAACATTGGAAGTGTGCAAAAGAAAAAAAGCTTAAAATTAGATCAGATACGTGAAGCAGCACAGAGCAGTGTTCAGGCTGGTTTCTGAAGGCGGAGGGCAGGGCACAGCCACAGGGCGCGTGTACCTTCTGTGTTCACCACGATGATTCCTTGCACTCCTTTCTGGCTCTGAAGTCGTTTCAGGGTCTCTTCCACCTCTGCCTGCCAGGAAATAATACCAATGTTAGGAGAGCCCAGGTAGGCTGGATTCATTTCCCCACATCCCAGGCGCAAGAGTCACACATTCAAATTCTAACAACCTGTGGAAACACCAAAGCTCCCCAGGCCATGCAGCATGGGACCCTAGAGCAAGAATTCACACTTGGGCATGAGACGACTAGGGGTGTGTGTGGGGGTGCCTGCTGCTCACCGGGAGCCCAAGGCTATTTAGGAGAATATAAATACCACTCTCTGGAGCATCTGCACACCCATGACTCATATACTTGGTATAGCTGAGAGGCAGGATTCCGAGGACTGGAAGAAACACCAAACACTGGTTTCTAACAGGAAGGAGATGGCTTGTAATTTGTGACCCAAACAATACAACTGAAAATATTTCAAAGGAAGCAAAATGACCCTACGAGGACAGACTCCGAGACTTAATCACCTGGCATCTGAGATGGTGTGACACACAGCACACAGCCACAGGAAATGGGCCCCAGAAGGGGCTTATGAGTCCTGACTGTCCATAAAACACGGAGGGATATTTTGGCACCTGGAATCTGTAAGGAGGGTTCTCGCTGTGCCATGCAACGCCTTCTCCATTCTTACACCCGGATACTTACCCTTCCCTCCACTCTGTATCAGCTTGCCCCCATGTCCCTGTCCCCGTGTCTTTTTACCCCACTAGGCCCATTTTTTGCTGAAATCCAACGAAATGTTCTAGAACTGTGCCTTCAGCTCTTCTTAGAAACACTTATGCACTGCCAACCCAATGGTTTTGCCTGCATCTGACTGCCAGATCCTTGCCTGTGCCTATCTGGGACACATACCAGGCACTGTGTGTCTAATTACGAAGTTTCTACAGTGATCTGCAAAGAAGGAGTTCCATAAACAGCTGCCTGAAGTCAGGCATAGTGGCGCATACCTGTAATCTCAGCACTCTGGGAGGCTGAGGCAGACATACTGCAAGTGTGAGCCCAATCTGGGCAACTCTGTGAGTTAGAGCAAGACCCTATCTCAAAGTAAAAAATAAAAAATGTTTGGGGATGTAGCTCAGTGTAAAGGCCCTGGGCTGAACCCCCAGTATCGCTAAAAAGAAAGAGAACAACAAAACAGCTGCTTAACTGAACCAGGCTTAGCTCTTCCTGTCACTGGAAATGGCTTAAAAAGATGCTTGCAAAAAAAAAAAAAAAAAAAAAAAAAAGATGCTTGCTCTGGTGGCCCCTTCCAGATTGGTCCAGAATCCAGTAAGAAGGTCCTCAAAGGCTGAGAGTTACTGGAGACAAAGGCTCCATTCACTAAAAGAGAATCATTTCCCACTCCCAGGGGGTCAAGGGAGGGAGGGTGGATTCTGAACATTGGGTAGAGACAGCACAATGAATCACTGTTTTTCTGGAAAGCACAAAGCTGACAATCCAGTCACTACCACCCACTCCCTAGTGATGTAAGGACACTCTCAATGCTGGAGGAACAGCAAACAAGTTGCTCCCACAAATGGCAAGTAACATGATGCCCCTAAAATGTGGAGCCTGAGTAAAAGGAGAGCTGGTCCTGTGAACACAAGCGTAGGATAGGAGGGTCACAGTATCTGAGGTCCTAGGTCATTCAGCAGCCCTTCACTGCGCTCCTGCTACGTGCTGGGTCTATTCCAGAGGGGAAGAGTAAGTGCAGAGGTCAGTACTGCACAGTACTCAATCTGACCTGGGCACCCACTGGACACTCATCTTTTCTTTCTTCAATGTTTTATTTGTACGTATTTGCCGTACACAGTGCTCCTACTCCCCTCCCTTCCCTTCAACCCTTTTTTTCTTCCCCACTTACAGAAGCTTTATTTCCATTTTTTGAAATCCCTTTTCCCTTTCTTCCTCCCCCATTCCCTTGTTCCCCTTTTCATTTGAACATGGTCTTCCTACTTCCCATTATCTATCCTCCATTATTCTCCTTATTTACCCTTAGGGCTTCCCACACAAGAGAAACAATGTGATATTTAAACCTGTATGTCTTACTTTACTTAAATTATAGTCTTGAGGTACACCTCTTTACCTACAAATAACTTTATCATTTTTTATTGCACAGTAGTACTCCATTACATATAAATACATTTTCTTTATCCATTCATCTGTTGATGGGCATATGGGCTCTTTCTAAGATTTAGCCATTATACATTGTGCTATAAACATGAGTGTGTATAATCACTGTGGTATGATACTTTTTTAACTCTTTTGAGAGGATACCTAGAAGGGGCACAGTTGGGTCAGATGGAACCTTTAGTTTTAGTTCAAGGAATCTTCACATTGATTTCCACAGTAGTTGTACCAATTTACACTCCCACCAACAGTGGAGAAGTGTTCCTTTTCCCCCAAAGCCTCACCAGAATTTGTTATTGGTTGATTTCTTGACGAGAGCCATTCTTTCTGGAGTAAGACAGAATCTCAGTGTTATTTTAATTTCCATTTTGCAAATAACCAGGGATGTTTTTCATATATTTATTTGCTGTTTGTACTGCTTCATCTGAGAAGTGTCTATTCATTTCAGATGTCCATTTTTGGATTGGGTCTTTAAATTTGGGGGGGGGGGCTCGTCTGATTTTTTTTAAAATTCTTTTTATATTCTAGATATTAGTCTTTTGAGGAGTATCTGGTAAAACATTTTTTGCCCATTCTGTGAGTTGTCTCTTCACTCTGCTAGTGGCTCTGTTTGCTATGCAAAAGCTTTTTAATTCGATATAATCTCAGTTGTTGATTCTTTGTAATATTTCTTGTGTGACTCAGGTTTTGCCCATAAAGTCTTTGCCTACACCTCTGTCTTCAAAAGTTTTACCTATTCTATCTTCCAGCAGATTTAGTGTTTCTGTTTTAGTATTTAGGTCTTTGATCCATATCAATTTTAGTTTAGTGCATGGTGAGAGATATGGGTCTAGGTTCAAACTTTGGCATATAGCAAGCCAATTTGCCCAGTAACATCTGTTAAGGAGGCTGCCTTTCTTCTAGCAAATGTGTTTGGCCCATTTGTCAAAGATAAGGTAGCTGAGGGTGCCTAGAATTGTTTCAGCATCTTCTGTTCCATTGACCATGCTATTTTTATTGCAGTAGCTTTGTAGTACAACTTCAAATCTGTCCTGGAAACTCATTTTAAGGAAATAATCTAAAACAACACGAATAATGCAGCGAGATGTTTGCTGCAGTGGTACCTGCAACAGCAGAAAGAATTAAAAAGGCTACCAAATCAGAGAAAAGGCCAAGTACATTATGGAATATCTACTATAAAAATATAATACACACATTAACAGTGGTGACTGGACTAATAGATACTACTACAAAAGGTCTGTGATAGAGTGGTTTTTTGTTTATTTTTTAAGGCATAGTCTAGCTATATAGCTCAAGTTGCTACCCTTGAACTTATTATGTGGCCCAAGCTGGCCTTGAACTTGTGGTGATCCTCCTGCCTCAGCCTCCCAATTCTGGGATTACAGGCATGAAGTGCCACGCCTGGCATGTGATACAATGTTAAATAAAACCAGCAAAATGCAAAAATAAAGTGCCTGGTGACTATAACTGCATAAAAATAAGAGGGCTAGAGGAGGAAATTATGGGGTGAAAAGCCATTTTCAGAATAGGGAATTACAGATGGCTCTGTAATACAATGTATTAATACGTAAGAATAACTTCAATGACAATTTAGGACAGCTCAATGAATACTCAGGAAAAAGTCAGGTGTGGTGCATGGGTAATCCCAGCACTGAGGAACCTGAGGCAGGAGGAAGCAGTGATCTGCTCCTGGCTACAGCAACCAACCTTCCCTTTGTTCTCTGCACTTGAGCCACACCGGCTCTGTAGCTTTTCCTTGAGCACAGTGGACACTGTACCAGCCCAAGTTGTTTTACGGCCAGCCTTGGTGTTTACCTGCGATGATATACGGTGCGGCCAGGAGGCTGTGAGGTAAGGAGGGACAACATCTGATGCTACTCAAGGATGGCTCTGGCTGCTGTTCGGAGCATGACCTGCAGGGGGCACACAGCTTGCAGAGAGTCCTGGCTTCCAGCCTGGGTGCCTGGCATGCGCTGCTCCCTCTGTTTGAGGAGAGGAGCATCTCCCTCGCTCCCTGACATAACTCCTGCATTTAGCCTGTGGGCCTCCAGTGGGAGGCCTCCTTTAAGGCCAGCCCTCTCCAGGTACCTTTGGCCCCCAGCCTTCATGGCACTTACCACAGTGGAGTATAACTGTTGTTTCATATCCATCTCCTGACCCAAAGCACCACGCAAGTAGAAACCCCAGTATCTTTACAGTTCCAGTACCAGGTACGGGGCAGACTCTACACTTAAGGAAAATGTAACAGCTGGGGGAGGGTGGCACAGGCCTGCAATCCCAGCACTTTGGGAGGGTGAGGCAGGGGGATCTAGAACTGGAGTCCTGCCTGGACAATTTAGGGAGGTCTTGTCTCAAGGTAAAAAATAAAAAGGAGATGGGGTCTTAGCTCAGTGCAAATGCCCTAGGTTCAATCTCCACCACCAATAAATAATTAATTAAATAGCACTTCTGAAACTATGTTTCATTAAATCAACCCTTTTAAATACAGGAGGGAGGATATGTTCCAATGTAACAAAGAGCTAAAGTTTAGGTGACCTTAGTCTAATAGAAGCAGCGACAGAGATTTGGCTATTTAAGAAGCAAGCACACAGGGGGAACAGGAGGACACAAGGGTATATATTTATGTACTCAGGACTTCCTATGGGTCATGTGTTGCTTTCTGACATATGTCCCATCTGAACCTCTTACTCATCTTCCATGATTAGTATAATTTTACAGATGAGGAAACAGGTTCAGAAAAGAGAAGGGTTTTGCCCAAGAACACAGAGCAGGTCAAAGCAGAGCTACAGGCGGGCATGGTGGGATGCACCTACAGTTCCACCACCAGGGAGGCTGAGGTGGTATAATCACTTGAGTCCAGAGTCTAGGAAGACAGTGATGGCAAACCTTTCTAGACCTTGCATTGACACAAAC